GTTATCCATAAATACCTAAAATCGAATGAATAGAGGTTATCACAAATTCAGAATTGTTTTAAGCCTTATTAAAGAAAGAAAAGTTTTGGAAACAGTGTTATCAAGAAATTTAGTATACTACAGTATATATACTACGGTACTAAACCATTAAACGCAGAAGTGAAAAATGAAAAATGCGACACTGAGAAGTGAAGAATATAGTGAATAAGGAACCAATATTCTTCAATACAAACATAAATTCATATTAAGGAAACTAAAATTCCATGCGGGTATATCAGTTAGTAGAATCAGATAATGTTAAAGAGACTGTAGGTGTTCTGTACGTTTTAATGAAAGTTCGATTTTGTATGTCTATACATCTATACAGCTTTAGATAAAAATTTTGATATTAACCATATTTCAAATGGCTTTACCACATGTGAAAAAATCTATCGTCAGCTTAAGTTTCTTAGCGAGTAAATTTTGTTATACAGTGTACACAAAATACTAGTTGTGATTTGAATTCATACTTTTATGGGTCTTTTATTGTTGTATTAAAATAATTATCACTTCCAATTTTGTAAATCACCTAAAAATTATGTTACGTATAGAACCATTCAGTCACAGAAAAGAACTGGGATTGAAAACACGCGAATTGTTAGACAAAATTCAAGTAGTAGAATGAAGTTATTTATATTTTTGGTAAATAATTTTTAATAGATATTAAAGTTGTTATATAATTAATAATAATTATGTTGAAAAAAAATTTATGTTAATTAGTGTTTATACATCGCTGCCATCAACAGAACGTATGCAGATATCGAACAAAATGTGAATTCTGAAGTTAATACATTTCAGGGATATTTCTACGAAAAGCCACTCATACCCTTTAACTTACCTGGCATTGATGATACATTTGAGCATCAGGAACTTGGCTCTGAACACAAAGCGAAACATCGTATTAACAATTTTAAACTGCACCGTAAATATAAAAATTCATTAGATTCATGTCATGAGAAGGAGTCCAAAGCAATCGATGCAGCATTATTGAAAAGAAAACATAATCGTCCATCATTGCGTAGATTATATGCACATAAAGAAATCGAAGCTGACAAGAGTTATTTCCAATCAAATTACACTTTACCAGATAATATTGATATCAGCAAATTGACAATATACAATGAAATAACCAATAATCAAATTTGTTGTCAATAAATGTATATTTTATTTTATTAAAAATATGTGTATTTTACTTAATAATTTATAAAAAATAATCTAAAAATGAAATATTATGGTACCTAAGGAATTTTAATGACAATAGATATATATATATATATATTTTATTTAAATTATATTATATTTCTCTAATTGTATCTAAATCGAGTACTTTAAATTATTAATACAAATTTAAATTTATTTTTATTTTAATATCAGTACTAAATGTTTAACTGACGTATTTCTAAATAAAAAAGTTCATTTTTTTAAAACAAGTTTCGAAGTTCACACATTAAAAAATTCAACAATTAATCACATCCAAACCTGTTACAAACAATACGTCTATTTTATGAATATATAAAAATATTTTTAAATTATAAAAATGATCAAAATCATTTTCTTAGTAAACGCCTTTGCCATTCATAACGACACAGAAGAAGAATACCTACACTTAAAAAAATAATACCCAAATCGTCTATGTTTTTGGTGCAGACAGAAGAGTTTTTTGTGAAGACAGTTTTGGTGTAGTAGTTCTTACAAAAAATATTGAAGCTTCAAATATTCCATAGCGTTTTTTATTAAATTTTGTTATTAATGATGCTTCATGCCGCTTTAAATATGCTGAACAACTCTCCGAAGCATTCTGCTTCAAGTCTGGGGTACTATAAAGATGCTTTGTACTAAGCCAAGTAACGAAAGCACCATCAGAAGTCGCGATGAAGAGAGAGTATTTTAGTCCATATACTACAAATTAATACTTATTAATGTAAGGGAGTCGGGCACTTCATTCTGACAACATTAGGTCTGACTATATGGTTTCTAAAGGACATATATCGCAAACTAGATGATTTGGATTATGCTAATGATGTGAACTTTGCCATAATTGCTTCAAATTTCGAAGTAGCCTAAATTCATTGTACGTAAATTCTTTGCAGATCGTCAAAAAAATTAGTAAAGTAAAATTAAGACCAGGATAAGCGAAATGAGTTTGAGATTCGACTTTCATGCGATAAGGTATGGAGGAACTCTAATATCCATAAACAATAACATATCACGAAAGCATTAAATAGAGTTGTTGAATAAAAAGGTGTTATTGTCAGAATCAATATAGCAAGAAGAGGTTACGACAACTTAAAAAGATATGTACTGAATCCACATGCACACCATTACAATATTGCATATATTTGATACAAACTTAAGAGCGGTCGTATTCTATGGGAGCGTTTTAACATGGAAGAATAACACGCAATACAGTCAAAAGTTCAGACTTTTATTAATGATAGTTTACGATTAATATTGCACATCTTATAAACTTAAAGAATATCCAATTTTTGGTTTTTCTTTATTTTCAGATACACCAAACTAGAGCAACAGAAGAAATTTAGAAATGTAAATTAGACTAACTAAGACACTGAGATGGAACCCATAATTTTCTAGGAACTCCACTGTACTAGTCATGACTTAGAAAAGCATAGTGATTCAATACATATTTAAAGCTTTTGCATTTGTAAGACCAGGTTAGATTCTTAATTAGGTACTACAACAATGCTTTTCGTCCATATCAATTATTACTGTAATACTATTAACATTTACTATTTCTGCTTTAATCTCTGCAAACTGCAACACAAAAATTGTAGTACTTTTATGTAGCTCTTAAATAAAAAATCGCAGCACTAAAATTTAAAGGTAAATGCTTAGTATAAAAATAAAGCTATTAATGATTGAATGTTGAACTGGAACGTAGCTTCCACAGTAGTTAATATAAGACATCTTATAATATGGAACGATAAAATGGTACTTCTTTCATTGTCGATATATATTGCAAAAGAAATGTTCTTGAATACATTAATCCCTCAGCTAGAAATCTTTCGCTTATATCTAGTATTTTTTATTTAAAAATAACTTATCGTCCATTCATTCATTAGATTTAAACAACCAAAAGATGTAATATTTACCCCTTTCTTAGTCAGTTTTGTTAGTAAATTTTGGAAAAATTATCTATTATTCACCTCCACAAAGCAACAGATGAAAAGTCCATCCGAAAATAACTTGAAGAAGATCTACATTAAACGAAATTAACATTAACGCAGGGTCCAATAGAAACACCTACAATAGCGTCAGTGACAATTGATAAGACAATGGAAATCGTGAAATCGTATGACGCCGCTCAAGGCTTGATAATAATAACAGTAATGTTAGTGTTAAGTATGAAATACTTATTGTTATTCTAATAGTATAAAAATTTACAATAAATAAATGAAAGTCTTAAGATCTAAAATAATTTACAAAAAATAATACAATTGCTATATTCATTCATAGCATTTATATATTATATTGTATTAGTTAACTTGTATTTATATACAAGTTATATTTATATTATTTTTTTTTTATTTATTTGTATTTATATATGTTATAGTTGTTGTAAAAAGTACATAAATTTAAATTAAATTTTATGATTAAATGGAACCTACGAGTTTTTTTTTTT